TTTGTAACTATATCAATGCCTCTGGGAAACATTGGCTAATGATCACTAATTATTTTTTACCTGAGTTTTTAATTCACACCTGACATTGACCACAAGCTCAGAATAATATCTTAAAGAAATTAAAATTCCTTGACATGCATATTCATCATTTAATTACTTTTCAGCAAAGACAACCATCAATTCTGATTTAAAATTAAACCTTAATTTTATCTAAGTAGAAAAAGTATTTTTTTCACGAGTAACACATGTGCTTTATTTACTATGTAATACGCATGCATGAAGTTGTCTTGTGTGAAAAAATTTCCGGATCCTTGTGCCAGACAGACATATACACCTTACAATCATTCCATACACCAAATATAGTTGACCTATTGCTTAAAGTGTAAGAAAAACAGACCAAAACACAAAAACTTAACATAAGCAATGAACCATGAAAATGAGGTCAAGGTCAATAAAACCTGCCAGACTGACATGTACATTATTAAATATTTCCATACACCAAATATAGTTGACCTACTGCATACAGTATTAGGAAAACAGACCAAAACACAAAAACTTAACATTTAGCAATGAACCTTGAAAATGAGGTCAAGGTCAAATAAAACATGCCAGACTGACATGTACATCGTAAAATATTTCCATACACCAAATATAGTTGACCTACTGCATACAGTATAAGAAAAACAGACCAAAACACAAAAATTTAACATTGAGCAATGAACCCTGAAAATGAGGTCAAGGTCAAATAAAACTTGCCAAACTGACATGAACATCGTAAAATATTTCCATACACCAAATACAGTTGACCTATTGCATACAGTATTAGAAAAACAGACCAAAACACAAAAACTTAACTATGACCACTGAACCATGAAAATGAGGTCAAGGTCAGATGACACCTGCCAGTTGGACATGTACACCTTACTATCATTACATACACCAAATATAGTAGATCTATTGCTTAATATCTCAGATATGGACTTGACCACGAAAACTTAACCTTGTTCACTGATCCATGAAATGAGGTCGAGGTCAAATGAAAACTGTCTGACGGGCATGAGGACCTTGCAAGGTACGCACATACCAAATATAGTTATCCTATTATTTATATTAAACATTTCAAAATCTGAACTTTTTTTTCAAGTAGTCACTGAACCATGAAAATGAGGTCAAGGACACTGGACATGTGACTGACGGAAACTTCGTAACATGAGGCATCTATATACAAAGTATGAAGCATCCAGGTCTTCCACCTTCTAAAATATAAAGCTTTTAAGAAGTTAGCTAACGCCGCCGTTGCCTGATCTCTATCCCTATGTCGAGCTTTCTGCAACAAAAAGCGCAGGCTGGACAAAAACTACAAAATTTCCTTAAAATTACCAGTTCAGAGGCAGCAATCCAACAACGGGTTTTCTGATTCGTCTGAAAATTTCAGGGCAGATAGATCTTAACCTGCTGAACAACTTTTACCATTATCAGATTTGCTCTAAATGCTTCAGTTTCAGAGATATAAGCGAATAAACTGCTTCGCTGAGCGAAGCTGGATACGCCCGCAGAGGTCCAACCCTGAACAGTTGGGGCAAAAATGGACACAATATTCAAGCTTGATACAGGTCTGAATTTGGATTCTAATTAAATATATGATATATTATAGGTTTCTGAAAAAATCTAGTCAAAGAACTTGAAATTCGTTATATGAAAGATTTCTTGCTGTTGTGCAATTCACTGTGTTAATGCGTAATACTTAGTAAATCTGTTGTCAGACTATAAACAAATAAAATCTGAGTAAATCTGTTGTCAGACTATAAACAAATAAAATCTGAGTAAATCTGTTGTCAGACTATAAACAAATAAAATCTTATAACTCGGAAACATAAAATCGAAAATTTATAAAAATCAAAAGGGAGCTTACAGAAATAAATATAAACAATTTACCAAAGTTTCATAAAAAATGCTTAATTTTTGAGTTATTGTCTGAAAACTGGAAAATCCCCCTTTTTGTAATAATTAAAACCCCATAAATCGGAAATGTAAAATCGAAAATTTATAAAAATCAAAAGGGAGCTCATGTCGATAGAAATAAACAATTCACCAAAGTTTCTTGCAAATTGGTGAAATTGTTTTTGAGTTATTGTCTGAAAACTGGAAAATCCCCCCTTTTTTAATAAATAAAACCCCAAAACTCGGAAACGGTAAATCCGAAATTTATAAAAAACGAAAGGGAGCTCACGTCAATAGATATGAACACTTCACAAAAGTTTCTTGCGAAATTGGCGAAATTGTTTTTGAGTTATTGTCCGACAATTGGAAAATCCCCCCTTTTTTAATGAATAAAACCCCAAAACTTGGAAATGGTAAATCATAAATTTATAAAAAATGAAAGGGAGCTCACGTCAATAGATATAAACAATTCACCAAAGTTTCATGTATATTAGTTAAAGCGTTTTTATTTAATGTCCGACATGTTGAAGACGGACGGACGGACAGACAGACAGACAGACAGTCATGTTATAGTATAATACGTCCCGTAAACGGGCGTATAAAAACTGCATTTTACCCCTAGGTTCTATTTAAAACCATTGGGGCAATGTTGGTTGGCAGGCAGGGTCATCGGACAGATTTTTTAAAATAGATACCCTAATGATGATTGTGGCAAAGTTTGGTTGAATTTGTCTATGTAGTTTCAGAGGAGAAGATTTTTTTAAAAGATAAAAAGAATTTACAAAAAATTGTTAAAAATTGACTATAAAGGGCAATAACTCCTTAAGGGGTCAATTGACCATTTTGGTCATGTTGACTTATTTGTAGATTTTACTTTGCTGAACATTATTGCTGCTTACAGTCTATCTCTATCTATAATAATATTCAAGATAATAACCAATAAACTGCTTCGCTAAGCGCCCGCAGAGGTCCAACTCTGAACAGTTGGGGCAAAAATGGACACAATATTCAAGCTTGATACAGGTCTGAATTTGGATTGTAATCAAATATTTGACATATTAAAGGTTTCTGAATAAATGTAGTCAAAGAACTTGAAATTGGTTATATGAATTGAATTTATATTCAATTAAAGATTTCTTGCTGTTGTGCAATACACAGTGCTGTTGCGCAATACTAAGTAAATCTGTTGTCAGACTATAAACAAATAAAGTTCAATTTCTTCTCAATGTCATATTTGAAATTTATGAAAATCAATAGGGAGATTACATCAATAGCTATAAATAATTCACGAAAGTTTCATGAGAACTGATGAAAGCATTTTTGAGTTATTGTCTAAAAACTGGAAAATCCCCCCCTTTTTTAATGAATAAAACCCTATAACTCAGAAATGTAAAATCTAAAATTTATAAAATTCTAAAGGGACCTTACATCAACAGATATAAACAATTCACCAAAGTTTCATGAGAACTGCTGAAAGCATTTTTTAGTTATTGTCTGAAAACTGGAAAATCCTCCTTTTTTTTGAATAATACCCTGTAACTTGGAAATGTAAAATCTAAAATTCATAAAAATCTAAAGGGAGCTCATGTCAATAGATATGAACAATTCACCAAAATTTCTTGCAAGTTGGTGAAAGCATTCTTGAGTTATTGTTGGAAAACTGGAAAATCCCCCCCCCCCCCCTTTATTAATGAATAAAACCCCAAAACTCAGAAACGGTAAATCTGAAATTTATAAAAAATGAAAGGGAGCTTACATCAATAGATATAAACAATTCAATAAAGTTTCATGCATATTGGTTAAAGCGTTTTTGAGTTAATGTCCGACATGTTGACGACGGACGGACGGACAGATGGACGGACAGACGGTCAACGGTATACCATAATACGTCCCGTAAACAGGCGTATAAAAACTGAAAAATTTCCTTAAAATCACCAATTCAGGGGCAGCAACCCAACAATGGGTTTTCTGATTCATCTGAAAATTTCAGGGCAGATAGATCTTAACCTGCTGAACAACTTTACCCATTTTCAGATTTGCTCTTATAAATGCTTTGGTTTTCAGAGATATAAGCCGAAATCTACATTTTACCCCTATATTCTATTTTTAGCAATGGCGGCCATCTTGGTTGGCAGGTGGGGTCATCGGACACATTTTTTAAACTAGATACCCCAATGATGATTGTGGCCAAGTTTGGTTAAATTTGGTCTGGTAGTTTCAGAGGAGAAGATTTTTGTAAAAGTCAACGACGACAGACGAAGGATGCCAAGTGATGAGAAAAGCTCACTTGGCCCTTTGGGCCAGGTGAGCTAAAAATTATTTTGTTTTCATGATATGCATGATATTTTGTAATCCTGTAAATCTACTATATCTACCTATTTCTATTGGTAATTTAATATTTATAGAATAACTAATAGAAGAATTCAAATAGAGAAAAATATTCAACGAGTGACCGAACAACACATTAATTCACGAATGCGTGTAGCGCATGAGTTAATTATCAGTGTTGTTCGGTCACGAGTTTAAAAATTTTCGATATTTGAATTCTTTGATTAGTTATTCTTTTTATTACATTGGCAAATGGCTTTTTTTAATGAAATTAATGTAGAAAATGAAAGGAACTATATCTTTTTCCTACGCATTCACAATTTGTTTTGATCCGACGTTATCGACGTCTTGACAACGCTTATTGTTGTATGACGTCAGAGAGTGAAATAACCACGTTTATTTCACATGTGAAATTATCGGTTTTTATTTGACTGGGAAATCAATGTAATTCATTGCTACCAATGTAATAAAATAATTTATCTAGCTATGACAGGTAAACTGAGAATTTGAAACCAAACAAATCATATGACTTCTACAAATTGCTTTAGACACATGGAATAAACATTTATACATGTATGATCTATTAATAATATGGCTAAGTAACACACCTGATTTAATCTATTTTAACATACATGTACCAGGTAGCTTATTAACACTTCCTTTACCTTGACTTTAGTAATGCTTTATTTTCTTTTCTCACCTCACAAGACAATAAACGACAAGAAATTTACCTGTCTGGATTTTTATCTCGTCAGCCTTTTGAAGTTTGTGATGAAGAACACTTGTTTGACCACTAGGATTCTTCCTCATCAATGTTAATAATGTAGAGGTTTTACTTCCTAAAACACAAAATAATAATAATGTAGAGGTTTTAGTTCCTAAAACACAAAATAAGAGTAATGTAGAGGTTTTACTTCCTAAAACACAAAATAAGAGTAATGTAGAGGTTTTACTTCCTAAAACACTAAATAAGAGTAATGTAGAGGTTTTACTTCCTAAAACACAAAATAAGAGTAATGTAGAGGTTTTACTTCCTAAAACACAAAATAATAATAATGTAGAGGTTTTACTTCCTAAAACACAAAATAAGAGTAATTCTGTTATACACTTTAAACAATATGTCTATTTCAATATTCTAATTAAATGTACATACTGGTATATACATGTTAAAATCTGCACCATGTGTTGTTTGTCTTTGTTTTTGCTATTAAGGAGTCAGTAAAAGGTGTTTTTTGTGGTCTGCTTTGTATATGTACTGTCAAATGTTTTTGGTAATTCCTGTTTTTTTAATGTATTATGCAATGGTTTAACCAGGTTATTAAATGTAGTACATTTATGCAATACAAATTATATAATGTAACAAATAGCCTCATTTTCTGATAGAATAGCCTGCTATCATCATAATGATATTAGTTGAATATAAGAAAAATATCTATTCTACACAAATTATTCACTTTTAATAAAAAATTGTAGTAATGCAAACACTGCTGTTACACTATATTATGTTTTCCAAAAGTTTGGTAGTTTGTCAATTATAGTTCATTGTCATACATATTTACAATATTACCTTCTTTAGAGCAAGAACTGGGGGAATTTCTTTCCATAATCTAACATTTTACTATTTTAGTGTAAATCACATCCAACTGAAAATATATATAGGTACTTATATGTTATATAAGTAATGTTTATACATAGTTTGATTTTCATTACACTCAGTAGTCATTATTTTAGGATTTTCCCAGGATGTGTGTTTTCTTTACTGTTAAGATGAAACAGATTTATTATCATATCTCAATCAGTTAGATGTGAAGTTTATCACATGTTCTTAGCAGGAGGTTTAATTACATCAGTTCCAATACAAATATACATGTCTTGTTAATTAGTGACCACTTGTGGCATTTGGCTTCCTTTGTCCTTTGTTCTTTATACATTAACCTGGGTGCAGTTTTAACTCCTCCCACTTGGAGTATCCCATTAAGAAGTTGTGTATTAAAAACCTGTGTATGCTGCCTTGAGTATCCATTTATTTAAATGCAGATTAAGCAGTTATTAGACTAATCTTGGCTCTAATAGTGTTCAAGCCCTAAAATTTTTGACCATTTATCCCAAGCTTTGTGTCATATTGCAGAAAACAATTATAAAGTTAATTGCATTTTGCATTTATTGGATGATTTTCTAACCATAAATCCATCAGATGCGGATGGTGAGTGGACTATGGCTATAATGATGATGATTTTCAAAAAAATGAACATTCCTGTAGCTAAACATAAGACAATAGGTCCTGTAAAATGTTTAGAATATTTGGGTATTATTCTAGATTCTGAAAAAATAGAAGCTCGACTGCCCCTTAATAAAGTCAATCGCATTTGTGAATTCATCGAAAAATTATACAGGAAAAAATCATGTACAAAAAGGGAATTGTTGCAGTGTTTGGGCCACTTAAACTTTGCTTCACGTGTCATTTTACCTGGTAGATCCTTTGTTTCATACCTCATAGGGCTGTCCACTACTGTCAATGATTTGCATCATTATGTTAAATTAGATGAGGAATGCCGTGTTGACCTGGAATTTTGGTTACTTTTTCTGAGCAGCTGGAATGGTGTGAACATGTTTTACAGTAGACAATTTAATTCAAGTTATGATATGGAACTTTTCACTGATGCCTCATCAACAAAAGGATTTGGTGGATATTTCAAAGGAGAATGGTTTTATTCATCATGGCAATCAAGCATTGCTTATCCTGACAAAACATTTTCAATGGCTTTTCTTGAATTATACCCTATTGTAGTATCCGCAATACTGTGGGGCTCACAGTGGACAACAAAACACATTCTTTTCTGGTGTGACAATGAAGCTACAGTAGCTATAGTAAAAAAGGGCCGTTCAAAGTGTTTACAAATAATGAAATTAATGAGGAAACTTACATGGCGTGCTTGTAAATACAACTTTCATTTTAGTGCGAAACATGTTCCAGGATATCAGAATGACATAAGTGATGCTCTATCTCGTTTTCAGATAGACAGATTCCGCAAACTAGCTCCCAGTGCAGCACAACATCCAATGAAGTGCCCAAGCAGCTCAGATGTAATGTGGTCTTAAATAAAGCAGTGAATGAACTTTGAAACAGTGCTATTGCTAATACTACAAGAACTGTTTATGATACTGGGTTTAGAAAGTTTGAGACTTTTATGTTATTGAATGGTTTTCAATTTACTAGTTTACCTCCTATTTCTGAGGATATTTTAATTTATTTCATAGCCCACTGCTTTAAAATTCTGAGTTTACAATACTCTACCATTAAACTATATTTATGTGGAATTAGGTATAAGTATGTACAGGGTAATCATAATGATCCCTTGCAATCTGCTAATAATACACCTTTAATTAGTCTTGATTATGTTTTAAATTATATTCTGTAAAAAGACTGCAAAAAACAAAAAATCACATAAGATTACCAATAACTTTCGAAATTTTGGAGAAAATTGTAAATTGTTTGAGAAAAGGTTTTTGTTCCAAGTTTACTGATTTGATGTTAAGAACTGCATGCATTGTCGCATTTTATGGATTTTTGAGATGTGGCGATTTTACAGTGTCAAAGGCCTCACAATTTGATCCAAATATAAATTTATGTATTGAAGATGTTGTATTTCACACAGACTTAGTAGTTTTGAAATTAAAACAATCAATAAAAAGCTCCGCAGGGCGCAGCTTGATACGACCCCAGAGGTCGAAACCCTGAACATTTGGGGCAAGTATGGACACAACATTCAAGCTTGATACAGCTTTGCATTTGGATTGTGATTAAATATTTGACACAGCATAGGTTTCTAACACAGAATGAATGTGGTCTAAGAACTTAAAAATTTTAAATTGGACATTCACCTATTATGTTCCAATATCCAAAATCTAAATACATGGTTAGATTCAGCATATCAAAGAACCCCAAGAATTCAATTTTTGATGAAATCAAACAAAGTTTAATTTTGGACCCTTTTGACCTCAATGTGGACAAAGTTGATAACGGGGCCCAAAAATCAAAAATCTAAATACATGGTTAGATTCAGCATATCAAAGAACCCCATATATTCAATTTTTGTTGAAATCAAACAAAGTTTAATTTTGGACCCCGATTTGGACCAACTTGAAAACTGGCCCCTTTATCAAAAATCTAAATACATGTTTAGATTCAGCATATCAAAGAACCCTAAGAATTCAATTTTTGTTAAAATCAAACTAAGTTTAATTTTGGACCCTTTGGACCTTAATGTAGACCAATTTGAAAACGGAACCAAAAATTAAGAATCTAAATACACGGTTAGATTCGGCATATCAAAGAACCCCAATAATTCAATTTTTGATGAAATCAAACAAAGTTTAATTTTGGACCCTTTGGACCTCAATGTGGACCAATTTAAAAACGGGGCCCAAAATCCAAAAACTAAATACAAGGTTAGATTCAGCATATTAAAGAACCCCAAGAATTCAAGAATAAAACCCCATTTAAATTGGTCAAGAAATAAGCAATTTATACGAAGTATCTTCTTTTGCACAATACTGTGCATTTAAATATTTCTTGCTATTGCGCAGTACTGTACAATTGACAATTTCTTGCTATTGCTCAATATTGTGCTATTGGATATTTCTTGCTATTGCGCAATACTATGCAATTGAAGATTTCTTGCTATTGCTCAATACTGTGCAATTGAAGATTTCTTGCTATTGTGCAATACTGTGCAATTGAAAATTTCTTGCTATTGCACAATACTTATTATATAATAATTTACACATCCTGTTTGGTGTGTATCTCCTACCATATCATTATTATTTGCTTTTAAATATAAATCAGAAATAACCAACTTAAAATGGAAAATTTTAAAAGAAAAAAAAAAGGAAAAAAAGGAAACCCCCCCCCCCCAAATTTTTGAACCCCCTTATGATTCATCACCCCCAAACTCAATCCCAGCCTTCCCTTTGTGGTATGGTACCTTGCAGTACAATTTCAGAGAGATCCATACACTTACACACAAGTTATTGTCCTGAAACTAGAAAAATGCTTGTTTTTTGCCCCTTTTTGGCCCCTAATTCCTAAAATATTGAGGCAATTACCCCCATCATCAATCCCAGCCTTCCCTTTGTGGTATGGTACCTTGCAGTACAATTTCAGAGAGATCCATACACTTGAACACAAGTTATTGTCTGGAAACTAGAAAAATGCTTATTTTTGGCCCCTTTTTGGCCCCCAATTCCTAAACATTTCAGCAATTACCCCCAAACTCAATTCCAGCTTTCCCTTTGTGATATGGAACCTTGTAGTACAATTTCAGAAAGATCCATACACTTACACACAAGTTATTGTCATTAAACTAGAAAAATGCTTGTTTTTTGCCCCTTTTTTGGCCCCTTATTCCTAAAATTTTGAGGCAATTACCCCCAAAAATCAATCCCAGCATTCCTTTTGTGATATGGAACCTTGTGGTACAATGTCAGAGCGATCCATACACTAACACACAAGTTATGTCTGGAAGTTACAAAAATGCTTATTTTTGGCCCCTTTTTGGCCCCTAATTCCTTTACTGTTGGTACCATAACCCCCAAAATCAATCCAAACCTTCCTTTTGTGGTATTGAACCTTGTGTTAAAATTTCATAGAGATCCATTCACTTAAACTAAAGTTAGAGTGCGAAAACCAATGTGTCTTCGGATGACGCCGGACGACAACGACGCCGTCATACCAATATACGACCACAAAAAATTTTTTGCGGTCGTATAAAAACTGATCCTTTTAGAAAAGGCATAAATATACAGCTACATAAATTAGGTCAGCTTATCTGCCCTTACAAAATTTTGTTAGAATACAAATAAGGAAGGAATTTTCTCCTATCAATCAAACTGATCCACTTTTCATAACCATTGATAAGAAACCTCTGGAGAGACAATATTTCCTCACCTGTATTAAAAAGTACTGGATATATGTGGCTTCAACTCAAGTCATTATAATGGTCATAGTTTTAGAATTGGGGCAGCTACTAGTGCTGGTAAGGCAAAAATAGAAGATCACTTGATAAAAACATTAGGGCGCTGGTCTTCAGATAGTTACATCAGATATCATACATTAGGGTCACGCCAGCATCTATTAAAACAGCTCAAAGTAAGTTAGGTAGAATTTAAAGGAATGCTCATCTTCAAATGTTTCATATATATATGTATGCATGTTTTCACAAAGTTTCTGTATGATATTGTTTTTGTTTGACAATTGATTTTGATAATGTGTTATTATAATGTGATTACTTTTAGTTTTTTTTTTTTTTTCTCTCATGGCTTTATTGAAGGTACCCCCTCCCTTACCTCACAAATCCTTGGGGACACTCAGCTGTTACCATCTGTGTTATGGACATTTATGAAATTTTATTACTGGTTGTTTCAAAAATTTCACTCATCCCCCAAGAATTTCTGGGGATAAACTGTCAAATTTCATACAAATTCATTCCAACACCAATTCAACATCAACACTACTAGGCTTCCTCATAGCCTCCTTATAGGCTTCCTCATAGCCTCCTTATAGGCTTCCTCATTGCCTCATTATAGGCTTCCTCATAGCCTCATAGGCATGATAGCCTCTAGGCATGATAGCCTCATAGGCTTC